TGCACAGCTCTATTCAACCTATTTCTGCAGTCTTCCATCACTAAATGGGTTTTTGTACTGAAGCGTATCACTGTGTAGAGGGTAGGTGTTCATATGGCCACAGTAATACTCCCCTTCATCCTCAGGATGTACACCATTGATAGAGAACGTATAGTCAGTGCCACTTCCTTGTCCACTGAAACGGGGTGGGGTGCCTTGAAAACGGTTATTAGTATAATAAATCAGTAGCTTCGGTTTCTGTCCTGGTATCAACTGATAGAAGTTAATGTAACCACTGACTGAAGAGGAAGTTTTGCACTGAATGTCAGCTTTGTCCCCAGGATTTTTCTGTAAAGTGGCTGGGGTCTGAATGACCACAATTTCCCCACTCGACTCTAGAAGGAGAGAAATTAAGCATTTTGGTCAAACATTAATTTTTACCCGGGTGCGGAAAGGGAACAGCATATTATAAACTTACCTTTAAAGATGCTCAAGATGACCCAAATGAAATATATTTGTAACATGATGGTGATGCCGTTCCTCCTGTTACCAAGAAAATGTTAAAAGAGTGCTTCTCTTTACATTAATGAGGATCAAAGAGGGGATTTATGAAGTGTAAGGTATGGAAATCTATGCAAATCTTCAGAGGATAGAAGCAGAATCATTGTCTCTCGCCATAAAAGTTTTATGCTTCTTGAAAAGCCTCAGAAACACCTGGGCGAGAGTTTCAAACTGATCAAGCCTCAGGAAGGACCTCAACAGAACAATCTCAGTCAAGGAGAACAATTTGTCACCACGAGATCAGAGCTATTCAATGATAGGATTAGTTAAAATTATCAGAAATAAAATATTTTTTCATGACATTTTCATCTCCACTTTTTTGCAGAATGGCGTTTTGTATCTTTTGAAGTACAAATATAATTTGCATGCTAAGCATAACATAGAAAAGCAAGTTCTATCATAATGAAAAGCAATTGTGTGTGTATGTGCATGCCTGGGGAAATTGACCTGGTTATTAAGAGTTTGCACTTGGAGGATCCAGCAATTCTCTCCATTGTCCATCTCTCCCTCTGTCTCTCTTTTTGGGTTGGGTCACATATGTGTACATACATACTAGATTTTACTTTATGTGCGGTTGGCCATGGATTCTGAGATCCTGAACAGTTGTGACTAGTGTCTCTCAGGATTGGCCACATAAGGGAGTCCCCGTTTGACACATTGACTGTGTGAGGAAATGAGGCAGACTTGCCCAGCTTGTAGGTGAATGATTTTCATACACTGCCTGCTGGCTGGGAATTATTGTCTATTCATTTCTCTTCATGGTATATTCAGTGGTTTTGCTATTGTTGTTGTTCATTCATTCCGTCACTTCTGACTCTTTGTGACCTCATGGACAAGCACGCCAGAGCTCTCTGTCGGCCGTCACCACCCAGCTCCTTCAGAGTCAAGCCAGTCACTTCAAGGATACAATCCATCCATCTTGCCCTTGGTCGGCCCCTCTTCCTTTTTCCTTCCATTTTCCCCAGCATCATTGTCTTCTCTAAGCTTTCCTGTCTTCTCATGATGTGGCCAAAGTACTTCATCTTTGCCTTTATACCATATAATTAATGGAATTTGATACCATCTTAACAACTACTCTATGGAGCTTCCATTTGGTTAACCCCTAATATTAGTGCCATCAGATCTTTCCACTCAAAAGTTGTCCACAAATTATTTGGCATCCCAAACTGCATCCCATACACAGTTCTATGTCTAGAATCTGGCCAATGCTCTATAGAGGCTACTATCTGGCTAAACATCATAAAATTTTTGTTATATAATCACTATCAAAGCCCCACTAACTCCTTGACCCATCCCACCTTGAGCGAACTCAAAATGGTGCACAACAGTCCTAGCAAAGATCTGGGAATTGGGCTATGATAGTGACTTCTTGAATATGCTAACTTTCACTGAGATCTTTACCCTTATTAAAAAGAGGTTGTTAGAAAGGTATTATAAACAACTGTTGAGCTTGGCCAATAAATCCTGTTCGCCTATGAACATGGTAATCCCATTCATACAGGGAAATTCAGGATAACCTACATGCTGACTAGATTTAATATTATGCCATCTCTGCTCCATAGAGGAAGATTCAATAGTCCACTGAGCAATAAGAGGTTTTTTTCCTGTAGTACGGGGCAGCTGGATTCCATCCCA